TACATGACACACATGATTATAAATGTCAGATGGAATAGAGACCTACAGGTATAACCCCAAACTATGGAAGCAGTAGAAGAAAATATAAGAATAGGGAGTGGAAAAAACCTTCCTAGGAATAAGAAATCCAGGATGAACATTTTCTCATATGCCTGTTGGCCATCTGTATGTCCTCTTTAGAGAAATGCCTCTTCATGAAGCTGATGTTGTATAGTATTGTATGTCAACTATATATATATATATATATACACACAAATATTTATATAAATATATATATACACATACAGCCATGGGATGTGGAGTATAGTGTGGGAGTGGAGTCAGTGGAATTGTAATAGATACATATGATATCAGGGGGAAGTGGGATGGCAGATTGCAGGAGGGAGTTGTCACTTTGAGGAGTAAATAGTGTAACTATTGCACTGTTGTACACCTGAAACTAATTAAAAAAACAAAAATTAAAATTAAAATATATATAAAATAAAATTTTAAAAAAGAAGAAACCCAGGAGCCATAAAGGAAATGAATGACATTTCAGATTACACAAAAAATTAAAACTTCTGTATAGGAAAATAAAACTTAAACAAAGTTTAAAGCAAATGGCAGACTGGGAAAATAATATTTGAAATGCAAAAAGTTAATAACAAAATTTGAAATAACAAAATGCTAATAAGTAAGCTTTTACAAATCAATAAGGCAAGCAACCCAACTTAAAAAAAATAGACAATTCACTGAAGAAATACAATTGGATTTAAAAAATAATTTAAAAGAACAACAAGTGCTGGCTGGGAAGTGGAGAAAAGGGAACCCTGTGCACTGTTGGTGGGATTGCAGATTGGTGCAGCCACTATAGAAATCAGTATGGGGGTATCTCAAAAAATCAAAAATGGAACTACCTTATGACCCAGCAATTCCACTCTTAGGTATCTATTCAGAGAAATCCAAAATGGCAATTCGAAAAATATATGCACCTCTATGTTTATTGCAACACTATTCACAATAGCCAAGACATGGAATCAACCAAAATGCCCATCGGTAGAAAACTGGATTAAGAAACTGTGGTACATTTATACAATGGAGTATTACTTGGTTATAAAGAAGAGTGCAATCTTAACATTTGCCACGATATGGATGGACCTATAGAACGTTATGCTAAATGAAATAAGTCAGATGGAGAAAGACAAATACCATATTATCTCACTTATATATGGAATCTAAAGAATAGAATGAGAAAACTAATGAGAAAGAGTCTCAGAGATATAGAGAAAAAACTGAGAATTGCTAGATGGGAGGGGGGGTGG